AACTGAAGTTGAGTCATTCTTAGCTTACTGGATAGTTCTAGGGCATCTGATTTATTTTAGATCACATGTACAGATTAAAATTTTAATAACTGAAAGAGTAGAAATAGAATTTACAACTTCTGGCCAGGCGCAGTGGCTCACGCCTGTAATACTAACACTTTGGGAGGCCGAGGCAGGTGAATCAATTGAGGTCAGGAGTTCAAGGCCAGCCTAGCCAACATGGTGAAACCCCATCTCTACTAAAAATACAAAAATTATCGGGGCATGGTGGTGAGTGCCTGTAATTCCAGCTACTCAGAGGGTAAAGCAGGAGAATCGATTGAACCACAGGTGGAGGTTGCAGTGAGCTGACTGCACCATTGCACTCCAGCATGGCTGACAGAGCAAGACTCCATCTCAAAAAAAAAAAAAAGAATTTACAACTTCCAAATTAGTAAATAAATTAGTAAATGAGGAAAGGAGGGCAAAGAATTCTTGATCAATGCAATAGAAAAAAAAAAAAAAAAAAGGAAAAGAACAAAAAGCTTACAGAAAGCAAAGTAAGTAAAAGATGTAAAAGGAGACTTAAGTCCAGAACGTCAGAAATCAATAAGTTAATAGGATCTTTTATTTATTTTTTTTTTTGAGACAGTGTCTCACTCATCATCACACAGGCTAGAGTGCAGTGGCACAATCTCAACTCACTGCAACTTCCACCTCTTGGGCTCAAGTGATTCTCCAGCATCAACCTCCTGTGTAGCTGGCACTACAGGTGTGTGCCACCACACCCAGCGGATTTTGTAGTTTTAGTAGAGACGGGTTTCACCATATTGACCAGATTGGTCTTGAACTCCTGACTTCTGGTGATCTGCCCACCTCGGCCTTCCAAAGTCTGGAATTACAGGTGTGAGCCATCATGTCCTGTCAATAGAATCTTTTATACACTGCTAGTAAGAGTACAAATTGGAATACCACTTTGGAAAACAGCTTAGTATTATCTTGTAAGGTTTTACATTCACATATGTTGTGACCCAGCAATTACTCCAAAAGAAATTCTGAGCTATGTACATCAGAAGGTAAGACTGTTCATAATACTGCTTATAATAGTAGAAAAAAAAAAGTCCCAAAACAATCCAAAGTCTAGTTTGGGATAGAGTGGAGAAACTAAACTGTGGCATGGTCATGTAATAGAATATTATACAACTGGGAAAAAGAATGAACTACAACCAGGTACAAAAATCTAACTGAGTTCCCCCCCCTCTAACCCCCAGGGCCCTTGCTAGAGGATCTAATTGATTCTTAATAATGTCATATCAAGTAAATTATCAAGCCTCAGAAATTTTTCATAAAATTTCAAAACAAAACAGAATATTAGTCACTGATATGCATGATAAAACTTTTTAAAAAGCAAAATAATAATACAAGATTCAGACTGGTGGTTACTTTGGCTGGGAGGAATGAGATAGGGAGGAGAAAATAAGCAGATGTTACATAAGTTATTGTTTCTGTTTGAGTTCTCTGGTTGAACAGCAGGTATACGAGTATTCATGATATCAGCAAATAAAATAAGGTCATGAGTATAAACAATGATGATACTATGTTATACTAGAGATTGCAATTAATATATTTTTGTGCCCCTAAATTGTGGTATTTGGTGATATTTAAAAATATCAGCAATCACAATAAATGTAAATGGACTAAACCTCCTAGTTAACACAATAAATAATGAACCAGAACTAGCCATATGCTATTTACAGGAGACTGAACTAAAAATTTGGGACGTGAAAAGGTTGAAAGTAAAAGGAAAGAAAAAGATCTACCATGCAAGGGCTAATTAAAAGCGTAGTTACATTTATTACCAAGTAGACTTTAAAGCAAAAGGCATTAGGGATAAATATCTTCTGTGCTAATATTAAAGGAATAATTCACCAGAAAATAGCAAATCTAAGCTTGTATGCACCTAATAACAAAGTCTTAAAATACACAAAGCAAAAAGTATGAGAAGTAGAAAATGCACAATTATAGCGGGAAATTTTAACAGTTCTTTTTCATGTGCCTGACAACATACTTTTAAAAACAGCAAAATTTTCGAGAATATAGGACAAACTGGAAAATCTAGTCATACAGAAATTTTAATGTACTTCTATAAAAAGCAATAGGTCAAGCAGACAAAATATTCACAAGACTACAGGAAATCTAGATAATATAATTAATAAGTCTGATCTAATAGATCCATATAAAATGCTATACTTAAACATTAAGGCATATACATTCTTTTAAAAACTATATGAAATATTTACAAAAATTAACTGCACCAAAGCAAGTTTTAATAAATAAGAATCTGCTTCATATAGATCACCTTATTTGACCTTAATTCAGTTAAGTTAGACATAAATAACTAAAGAAAAACATCAAGTACCCCTCAAATACACCTGTATTAATTCACTGGTCAAAGAAGAAATCATATCTGAAATACGATTTTTTTTTTGTTTGAAACAGGATCTTGCTCTGTCACCTAGGCTGGAGTAGCGATGTGATCATGGCTCACTACAGTCTCAACTTCTCAGGCTCAAGTGATCCTCCCACCTCAGCTTCCTGAGTAGCTGGGCCTGTAGGCGCATGTTACCACACCTGGCTAGTTTCTAGAAAAGTTTTCTTTTGCAGGGAAAGGGCCTGACTATGTTGTCCAGGCTGGTCTCAAACTCCTGGGCTCAAGTGATCCTCCCGCCTTGGCCTCCCAAAGTGCTGGGATTATAGGCGTGAGCCATTGTGCCCAGCCTAAAATCTAAACCTTTTTTTTTTTTTTTTACCTCAGTGATAACAAAAAGTCTATATATCTTGTGAAATATAGCTTGAGTGGTACTTAAAGTGAAATCTATAATCTTAAATGTTAAAATCAGAAAACAGATGGCTAAAAATTAATTACCTAAGGCACCAATTAAAAAAAAAAAAAAGCAACAGATAAATCCAAAAAGAGCAGAAGCAGAAGGGAACACTATATGATATATATTAATATTACATTATGTATTATATTCTCATATATAATAGTATATAATATATTCTATTGTGCCATATATAAGAATATCATATATAATAATGTACAGTATAAGGACAAAAATTGCTAGAACAGAAAAAGAAACAAAACCGAAGTCTGGGTCTTTGAAAACACTAGCAGAAAGTAGAAAGAAAACACTAGCAAAAAAAAAAAAAATCTCTGGCACAACTGATCCAGATAAGAAAAGATACATATAAAATGATATTTGGAATGAAAAAATAAACATTATGGATAGATACAGCAGAGATAAAAATACATTAAGAGATAACTATGAACAGCATTTTGTCAACACATTTGAAAACCTAGATGGTATGGATAATTTCCTTGAAAAATATAGTGTATAAAAATAGATTCGAGAAGAAAACAGAAAACCTGAGGAGATCCATAAGCATTAAAAAAATGGAATCAGTAGTTAAAAATCAACCCACGAAATGTCTTTCCCAGGCCCAGACAATTTACCGGCAAGTTCTACCAAACATTCAAGGAACACACAATTCCAATCTTATACACACTGTTCCAGAAAATGAAAAAAGAAGGAAAATTTACCAGTTCATTTTATGAGATCAGTATAAGCAGACAAAGGCAATAGAAAAAGGGAAAACTGCCGCCAATTTGACTTATGAACAAAAACACAAAAAGGGTCCTAGAATGAAAATAATGTTGGCCATCATTCATTCATTCATTCATCCACCCACTCATTCATTCATTCAGTCATTATTGAGCATCAGCCATGGGCGAGCAGGCAGTGTGCTGGTACCTGTAGAGCAGAAAGGTCCAGGAGCTTATGGCTTAGAGGAGATGGGCAATAAAGCAAATGATCATACAGGGTAAGTACACAGAGTATGTTCTGGTAGGGTAACAGCATATCAAGGGGCATTCAACCCTGTCACAGAGGTCTGGGAAAGATTTCCAGGCACATAAGTGGAGTAAGGGTGCATGTGGGGAGACTTTTGTAGGCTGCTGTAGGGCCTCAGGTGGGAGATCTGGGATGCAGTAGCAAGAAAGACGGATTTGAGCTCGGGCTGCTTTTAGAGAGGCTAAGTGGAGATGTTGAATAGGAAATTGGCCAGAGCCTGGAACTCTTCAGAAAGGATGGGGCTGGAGATTTCAATTTGAGTGGCATCAACACGTGTTTAAACCCCTCCTGGAAGATTGAGTTTGAAGAAGGAATTGTTCAACATGGTCTTGGGCTGTCGAGACTTTAAGAGCGTTGAGGAGTGATACCGTGCTGCTTGAATTCACCTGATGCAGGGGCTACATTGAGTGAACTGGAGAAAAAAAATGCATAAAATAATAATGAGCTATTACAAATAATGTAATGCAAAAAGGCAGCAAGAAGGAATATTTTTTGGACAATAAAATTGTTCTGCATCTTGATTATGGTGGTGGTTACATGACTCTATGCATGTCAAAAACTCACAGAATTACAGTCCAAAAAGAGTAAATGTTACTGCATATAAATTAAATGAGTAAAAACAATGTAGTAATGGAGACTTACAATCTAGTTCTTTCTCAGCCACTGACTTTGTAACTGCAGCACTAGCCCCTCTTTAGATTTTAAATCAGTTAAGTGTCAGCCTGTGGAGGTCTATGCCAGAGAAGAAGGGCCCCCAACTCTTGCCTTTCGAGGGACAGAATGAACATGTAGGCAGCAGAGGCCAAATGGCACTGGACTGATGGCCAGAAGGTCGGGGTGGGGTGTAGCCTGGTGAGTTTGGTACCTGAGACCCTGATGTAAAATGAGGGGATTAGATTAAGAGAGGCCTTTCTACCTAGGATGACCTGTGGTTCTACCGTAAAAATTCCAAACACAATTAGCTCTGTTGTCTGCATTTTGTTGAGAATAATCACTCATAATAAACAATCATCAAAACAACTAACTATTCCACACTTGAGACCCCAGATGATTTGGGAAGGAGCTTGGAGTGACAGGAAATGTGAGGATTTGAAGTTTAAAGCCTTAGAGCACCTTCTCGATATGATTATATTGGGTAGTAATTGATGATAAACACGACTCAGGTTTACAGTGAAAAAGGAACTTTTACAACATTGGTTCACTTCAGCCTCTCTCGCCTTCACCCCATCAATCCTGTCAAGGAGGAATTACTGCAATTTAGGGAACAGGGAGATTGAGAGCCTGGTCACTAAAGTCTATGGCTGGTGTTCAGATTTTCCAAATATTCCATTTTTCCAAAACTCAGTGGATTTGGTTCAGTTTTGGTGTTGAGTGTATTCCTTTGTCTCCCAATCCTATGAAAATTAATGAAAAAGTGTTATTTGGGCATCAATTCATGCCTAACATTAATCTCAGTATCTGATGAACCACAACTGTATGTTACCCCTCATGCCATATTAACTAAGTTTATTGCAATAATTTAAAACAATACGGATAATTGTATCCATATTGTTTATAAATTGAAACCAGCCGGAATTTGGCCAGCCTGGAATCTTCTGGAGAAATGTGCGATGTCTTTGGAAAGCTACAGAAATCGTCTTTTTGGAGTTTTCAGTGCACAAAGGTATGAAACCAGCATTTATTAAGCACCTACTGTATGCCAGAGCCGTGCTGTACAATACGGCTGCTCCTAAGGTGGGAGTGATTGTGTAGCCTTCTGCCACCCCAGCTACCTCCGCAGTTCGTGAGGGGTCTTGGGCTATTTCAGTCTCATGCATTTTATTATCCTGGCATACAAAGGCTGGGTAATTCGAGAAATAAAAAATATAACGAACGGATTACACAGGGGCTTCCTGAAATAACCACCCATCCCAGCCATCCCAGAGACACTCCAAAAGTACTTCTCATTATATGCAAACATTTGCTTTGAACCTCAGTCATGTGACCTTGACCCCTATAACCTATCATATTATATTGTTACAACACTCTATGATTAGCGCGGAAACCCTTTCTTCGGCACTTTCTCGCCACTGGAATCGCGTCAGTTTCTCAAAGTTCCAAAATAACCTTTCCCGGGCACGGATTGGTACCTCTACTGGGGAAGGGCGGGGAGCCGCGCAAGACGTGCCGGTGTGGAGCGAGAGCCAGAGAGAACTTCCAGCGCAAAAGGAAAATAAAACTTGTGGCTGGTGTTTGTGCAGGAGGGTCTCCGCCATCCTGAAGTCCCTCGATCCTGGAGGGTCTCGGGGGCCGCCAGAGTAGCGCCGGGGTGTGGGTTTGCTCCCGACGTCCTTGACCTAAATTTCTGAGCGGCTGCTGGAAACAGGGCGCAGCGCAGGGCGGGCGGCTGGTGCCATCCCCGGATCTCGGCGGCAGGGGCCGGCAAACTTGAATAGAGAGGGCGAACTAGAGAGGGTGGGGGGGCGTCTTCACCCCGGTCCGGGTGAGGAGCCGCAGCAAGCTCCTCGCGCCTCCCCTCCCCCGATCCACCCGCCCCCCGCAGCCCATGTGATCCACGGAAGTCGGGGTGCGCTCCCCGTCGCCCCGCGCCCAGCCGGCCCGGAGGCGGGGTCCCCTCGGCCCGCGGGGTTCTCGCGCCACCCGTGTGGGTCCTGCCGCGGGGGGCCGAGTGTGCGCGCGCGGGCAGGCGGGGGCCGCACGGGGGTGCGTGACGTCACCGGCATTGGTTACACGACGTTCTAGAACTCCGCCCCACGTGCGCCGGGGAGGAGGGGGAGGAGGAGGAGGAGATGGGGGTGGGGAGGAGGAGGGGGAGAGGTGGGGATGGGCCGGGGGGGGCGGGGAGGGGGGGTGTGCGAGGCAGCGGGGCTGAGCTAAGCCGAGCCCACGTGTGACGGCTCTCGCCGCTGCCCCGGCTCCGCCGCTCGCAGAGAGATTCGGAGGAGCCCGGGCGGGGGGGAGGAGGAGGGGGAGGAGGGAGCGGAGATCTCGGGGCTCGGAGCCGGCCGCCGCTCCGCTCCGATCGCTGTGGGGCTCGGTTTTTTGGGGGTGGGGGGGCGGGGGGGCTCAGATATGGAGGCAAATGGGAGCCAAGGCACCTCGGGCAGCGCCAACGACTCCCAGCACGACCCCGGGTAAGTTTCCAGCCGCTGCCCACCGCTCCGCCTCGGGCTCGCTCTCCTTGCAGCGGCGGGGACGGCGGTGCGCGGAGCCGGGCATCTCCCGCGCCCCCCCGCCCCTCCCGCGCGCCCCCCCCGTGGAAGTTACACACCTTTGGATTGCATTTCGCCGTCACCTTCTCCCCCACCCCACCTCCCGGCTCTCGCTCGCTCGCTCCCCCCCGCTTTCCTTTTAGCTTTTGTAAGTTACACGTCAAAATGGCCGATCTGACATCGGTGCTCACTTCTGTTATGTTTTCTCCCTCTAGTAAAATGTTTATCGGTGGACTAAGCTGGCAGACCTCACCAGGTAAGGGAGGGAGGGGGGGACGTCTGGGTCCCCCCCTTCTTGGCTTCTTTATTGCTCTTTGTTATCCCGGTGTAGGAGCCCCCCCCCCGCCATTGGCTCCCACTTCTCCTGTGCAAGGTTATTTTTTTTAAATAGCAAATCCTTTCTGAGCCCTCTACGCGACCTCTGTTGCCGATTTCCCCCGTGTGTGCAAAAAATGAAAAAACAAAACAGAATAGCAACAGAAAACTACTTTTGGATTTTGTCCTTGATCAAAATTTGCATTGCTTTTTTTCCCACACCTTCTTCCCCCCCCACCATCTCTCTCTTTCTCTCTCTACAGATAGCCTTAGAGACTATTTTAGCAAATTTGGAGAAATTAGAGAATGTATGGTCATGAGAGATCCCACTACGAAACGCTCCAGGTAAACCATTGCCTTCTGGATTTTGTCTTTATTTTAGAACAAAGTTTAAGTTTTATTTTTGGAGGTGTCTTCGGAAGTAGTTAAGCGGATTAGAATGGGGCTCAGGCGCGTGGCTGATCTCGAACGGCGCTCTCTACCACCCCCACCGCCCCCCAATCACCCTAGAGGTTATTGTTAATTGGAGCTGAACTCTGGATACAGAGATACCCATCTCTCTGCTTTAAGTCATTTTCCCGTCGCTTCTTTTTCTCTGTTTAAAATGACATTCAGCTTCATTTACTTTTCACATAGTTTTTTTTTTTTTTTTGGTCTTAATGCATGTTTTCCCCACACTCCCAGCTCCCCAAACTCTTAAGTTCCCTCTTAGAAAGATGGTGGTGAATCTCTTCTAAGTGCCGGGCTTTCTTCGGAATACAACAAAGCGTTAGGAAAGGGAAGGGAAGGAGGAGAGGAAACTGAGGTGGCCAAAGAGTGGAGGCACCAGCATTTACCAAGTTACCTCCACCCGCCCTGCCCCCGTTCCACCTCCCCCATTAACCTGGATGCTTTTTCTTGCGAGGTGGAGGGCTGTAGGCAGGAGGCGAATTGGAGGGGGGAAGTGGGAGTGGGGGTGCGTGGGGGGCAACTTTTGGTCCTCATTCAGCCGTAGGTCTCACTCCTTGTTGCTTTCAATGGTGTCACATTTTCTTGTTTGTTTTTCTCCCTCTTTGTCTCCTTTCAGAGGCTTCGGTTTCGTCACGTTCGCAGACCCAGCAAGTGTAGATAAAGTATTAGGTCAGCCCCACCATGAGTTAGATTCCAAGACGGTAGGTTGCTTTTTGTTGTTGTTGTTCGCCCCTTTTCAGGAACGATCTGGGCATTGACAGCCCCATTTAAAGGGACAGCGCCTTCTTTTGCTTCTGTGCTAGAACTGGGTAGTTTTAAACTGAGCTAGTGAGTTGGCTCAAAAGTTTGCTGCTGTGGCTGGCCTTGGGGTTTTCTTTTTAGAGCCTGTCCCATTGCAGCTTCAGACGCTGCCAAGGTTAGGCTTGGGGAGGAGGGGGTTCGGCTCCGGGAGAGTCTGCCTTTCCGGCCTGGGGACGGTGCAGAGAAACTCCACCAGAGAGCAAATGCAACTTTTCTTTGTCAGCCAAGCCCAGCATGCGTTACCAACTGTGGCTGTGGGGATCGGTTTTGAGAAGGCACAGCCGCTTCGTGGCCGAGGGGGACAGCAGTAGGAAGGAGGGGAGAGGGCGCTAATTACAGGTCCAGGCAACAGGTTCCTCTTGGGGCACTTGGGATTTGGAATGTGGTTTGGGAAGGGAAGGGGCGCTGGCAGAGCTGAGCTGGGCATCCACTGGGGTGACTCCAGATGGCATGAAATCTAAAACTGATAAGGCCTGGGGGTTTCAAAATGATTTTTTTTTCTTCCTTTTCTTTCTCAGATCCTTTCATTTGAGTGTGGGTACCTTTGCACATAAGAAGTTTTAAAAATTGAGAGTAGAAGGGGGAAAACTTTCCAGGCAGAGGTCAGGAGGGGAAGGGAAGAGTGTCTGTATGTAACAATACATTTAATGGGAGGGAGAGTTTGCAGTGTTTTATTTAGCCCCTGTGTGGGCTTCCTGCCTCTCCTCCCTTCCCTGTATGTCTACCAGAGTTTCCCCATGGCTTTTATTAATATATATCTGCCCAAAGCAGAGGCCTTAAGATGACATTGGGCTGTAGTGCTGGGTTGCATGAACTTCACTCCTCTGTGTTGGGGTAGCAGGACAAGGCCAGAGATGGGGTTCTACCTCCATCCACCTCTTATGAACGGGAACAATCGTTACCTCTGGGTCTCAATTTCCTCTCCTGTAAAAGAAGTGGACCCAGGTGATTTTTCAAGTCCCTTTTGGCATTAACACTGAATAGAAGAGAGGGAAAGAAAAGAAAGAAACCTGGCAACCTTCGGTGCACTTGAATTGATTTTGCAAATTCACCCTCTTTCTCTGATCAAAGAGATCAGGTGTGCGTGCCTTCTCCCAAGAAAGAAACCCACCTACACTCTTAGTTGCTCTATTAATTGTACTGGACTTGTCATAGCTTGCATGCAGCCCAGGCTTTTTGTACTTTTAGGTAATTTAATTTCAGAAATTTGTAGGATGATAACGGATGTCTGAAGAGTTTTTCTCTCCTTGATTTCTTGGCTAGACATTTCAAAAAGCTAGTGAAATTAAAGAGGAAAATCTTTTCAAGGCAAATTTGGGAATTTATCATCCACCGCCTCTTGCTACCTGGGTGGGAGAAACAGTATTTGGTTTTCTGTGGTGGCTGGTGGGTCGTATTCCTCTGTATCGGGGGCAAAGCCTGCAGTTTCCCCCCTATTGTTTGTAGACGTGTTTTGGTCACTATTATTTAGTGTAACCTAGCTTTTGACTTTGTTTCAACGTTCAGTGCAGGAGGCAGAAGCGGTTGGTTTATTGACATGGAAACGAGGATCTTGTTTACTGTTACCTTAAAAGCTTTGTTTAGGTAACGGCCATTCACATCCAAAATAGTACCCTAGTCTTTTCCTAGAGGACTTGTAGATACAGTAAGTAGAGCTGTACCTAACTAACTAATGTTTTAATTTTTGGTAGTTTTCTTTTTTGTTTGTTTTTTAAAAAAATAGTTGCCAGGGATGTGCAAAAGGTTGGGATTTGCCATGCTTGACCCTTCTCTCCTTCAGCGTGCAAACTTTGCACACTGAGGACTCCGATCGTGATGCAATGCGCTGATACGGCCACACACCATCCAGGAGTTCTGAATTGGCTTTTTCACTTTGCGATTAAAAAAATTTTTTTTTTTTTTTAGTACTTCACTTCATTGCATCTTACTTCTTCCAGCTCCTGGCTCCTCCCTCGACATCCCCCACACCTGTTACCTCATAACAAGGTGATTTCTGATTGCAATCGTGTGCCGGTCAACTAAAAAAAAAATCCTCTGGGGAGTGTTTATGAAAAGACACCTCTGTCTTATGTTTGGTCAACAGAATGGAAAATCCACACCTGTTGTACTTCTCTCTTAGACAAGCGCTAGTCAGCGCTGGACACACCCGTAGATACAGTAATGTTAATCTTTACGAAAGGGTAGTTTTCTAGATCAGAGATTTTTGTCTACTTTAGTTTTCGAAAAGTAATCTCTCATTTCTCAGGTGATGGTTAAAGGTAGGAAACGCAATGCAGATTTCATGAGGGTCTTTAAGCCAGCGTAATAACTGCAGTAAATCCTCGTATGTCTTCCTGGCTGGGACCTTAGGTGATTTAAGTCAAGGAACAAATGAACTATCCTTGTTTCCCACCCCCACCCCCACCTCCATACTTTCCTCCAAGGCATTACTCTTTCTCTTTCCCTCTCTTAGGGCAGAAGTGAAAACAAAGCTCAGATTTACTTTTTAAAAGGAAAAAATTCTAATATGAAAGCCAAAGCCTAGAAATAAATAACTAGTAGCAACGTTTATACTACTCTCTGTGTTACATTTTTGCCCAAAGATTTGTGACATTTAGAAATGGAATGAAAACTGACAATGGGACTGTTTTCAAATTTCTTTTCTCTTCTTTTCATCTACGCAGTCACTTTTTTCCTCCCTCACATCAGCCTGTTAGATTCACATGCTTCTGGGAGAATTGCTCTGAGTGGTACATCTAGACCCTGATTGAGCATCAGGTGTTCTGCAAATGTCTGATTTGGACTGGAGGATGTTTTTCCATGCGGATTGAGGTTGGGGTAGGGGAATCCCCTACTTGTTGCACTAGATTCTGACTACTTCTTTTGTTCAGTTACTTTTTTTTTTTCTTTTGTGCCCTCCCCAAGTTGGGCTGTCTTTTCTAATTTGGGTTTAGATTGTGCATAGATTTTTACCCCATTTTAAAAATCCAAGTGGATTTAGCTTCATTTTCTTCACTTAAAAAAATTATTTTTTAATCTTTTGATGTGTGACTACAGAACAGATCTTTTTGATTAATCCTGGGTAAATTTACTTTTGCTAAAATGAATTAGTTAACTCAGGCAGAGCATTGTGTTAGTTGTCTATGGGGAGTTTTTGGATGTTGTTGATTTAAAAAATTGTTGGAATCTCCTTCTCCTCCTGTGTTGTTGAGTTATAATCAGGGAGAAGAAATACCATCCAATTACCTACTGCTAGAGAACAGTTAACATTTAATTTTCAGGTTATGATTTTTTCCCCAATGATAATGACGCTCCCATCTTTTCTTCCATCCACGCATAGCAAATTAGATGCAGATACCATTTAATATTCAGTGTCTGGAAGAAGAAGCCCTTGCTTAAATAAGAATACATGAGATCTGGTTTATTAAGAGCATCACACACTGAAATGCATGGTGGGTCATTTCAGAAAGACTGGCTATCTATGTTAGTTATAAGATGTATTGGAGGAAAGGTTGAAGTTGAGATTAAAGTTTAAGAAACTTTTGAGTTGCCTGAGAAGTTACTAAAAGCTGTATTATAAGCCTGAGAAATGAGTGATTAATAATTAGGTGATTAATCATATATTTTTTCCTTTTCTTAAAGTATTTTATTGATTCCTGCTTTTCTATTTTTTTCCCAGATTGACCCCAAAGTTGCATTTCCTCGTCGAGCGCAACCCAAGGTAAGTAGGAGAATCAACAGTAGGATTTTAGCACTCAGAGATGATTGCCAAGAATTTCAAGTTTCAAACAGCATTGGCAATGAACTGTTGAAGCCTGGTATTCACTGTTCCTTCGGGGTATCAGCAAATGATGGCAACAGGCCGGGCAAGTAGTCCTGTGAGATAACCATGCGTCTCTAAGTTAGCCATCCCAAGGTGGCTTCTGAACATCCCCCTGGGGGCAAGGACGAGTCTGATGCTTAGTGGGAGAACGTGGCTCCATCTACTGCAGTATTTTTGGCAAGTATTCTATTTATTTTTTGAGCCTTTGTCAAAATCATATCAGGAAAAGTCGAACTTTCTCTTGCGACTCTTTTGGAGGGTACTCTTTTGAGGCTTTACAACTTGACGTTTATGGAGAGGAGTGGAGTTTAAGTAAACAGCTGATCCTTTGTTGGAAAAAAACAACTTCTTAGGCTTGTAAAGCCTTAAGTCTGAGAGAGATAGCGGTGGATATCTTGGTTTCAGGTCGGTTGGATAGGTCAGGGCATACTTGAAACCCACGGTGCTTCTCATTTGTGCAAGCGCTGGTGCCTGGGTGGAGAAGTCGTGAAAGTGTTGTAACCTTGTAGGAGTGGTACTACAAGACTTGCTTAAAGAATCCAGATAGGGCTTCACTTTCTTAGAAGTGTGTAGTTAACATAGTTTTCACTGAGCTTGCCAGGTGTAGCTATGAGAACACAGCTGCATGAAGCAGGAAGGCTAAATTGGAAAGGCTTGTGGCTTACATGTTACATTGATACTTAGTTATACTTTTTTCTTCCCCATGTAGCACTGGAAGAAATGTTTCTATGTACATTCTGAATTTGTCATTCTTTTAGGGAAAGGGAATAAGTTGAAGCTTCTGATTCTAAGTCGTAAAGGGAAGGGGTTGTGGCTTTAGCAAACCAGTTTATTTATTTATTTATTTATTTTTTTTGAGACGGAGTTTCACTCATGTTACCCAGGTTGGAGTGCAATGGCATGATCTCGGCTCACCGCAACCTCCGCCTCCTGGGTTCAGGCAATTCTCCTGCCTCAGCCTCCCGAGTAGCTGGGATTACAGGCACGCGCCACCATGCCCAGCTAATTTTTTGTATTTTTAGT